GCAAGGATGGTTAAGGCAGGTGTAAATATATTAAATGCACTCAAACACAGAACCAACAGTTCATTGATATAGATGCTGGAGCAGGATAGCTTCAGGAGTGGAAACAGATCACAGAAATAATGGTTAACCACATTGTTCTTGCAAAACGCGAGCTTCAACATAAAGCCTATGTGGATTGTAGATCCAATGATCCCCAAAACATAAACTCCTTCTGTGAGCCATAAGCAGATGTGAGAAGACATGACGGCATTATAAAGCAAGGGGCTACAGATGGCAACATAGCGATCATAGGCCATTACAGCTAGCATGTGGCACTCTGCAATAACAAAAACAAGAAAGAAATAAAGCTGAGTCATGCATTCAGGGTGTGAGATGATGTTCTTCTCTGTCACAAAGTTCACTAGCATTTTGGGGGTAATGACAGTGGAATGGCAGAGGTCAATGAAGGACAGACTGCTGAGGAAATAGTACATAGGCGTGTGTAGATGAGAACTGAGACCAATCAGTGTGATCATGCCCAGGTTTCCCACCACAGTCACCACATAGATTCCTAGGAAGAGGAGGAAGAGAGGGAGCTGGAGTTCAGGACGTTCCGTTAGGCCAGCGAGGATGAACTCAGTGACTGGGGAATCATTTCTATGGTCCATTATCCTCTCAGTAGCGTCTAAAAAATAAATAGAAAAAAAAGTTCACTGTGTTTGAGTGTATGCACATATATATGTGTGTGTGATTTTTAAAAAGTAACTCTGATATTCTTATTTTCTCCTTCATTGAGAAAGACTAATATTCTAAAATATTTAGCCTCTCAAAACTCTGGAAAATTCACCAATCTTTCTTTTTCTTTTTGAATCATTTTATTGGGGGCTCTTACAGCTCTTATAATCATCCATACATCCATGTGGTAAGCACATTTGTACATATGTTACCATCATCCTTTTCAAAACATTTTCTTTCTACTTGAGCCCTTGTTATCAGCTCCTCATTATTTTCTATTTCACTCCATCCGCTGTCTCCCTTCCCCCATGTTCTGTTGTTCACTGATCTTTCTTGACAACAGACAGAATTACAGACTTCAAGAATCTTATAATTAATAAAACACATTTTGTAGATTGTTTGAGTCAAAAACAAGGAGTGACACTACTGGTTTTCTTGTGGGTTTTTTGTATGTGCAAAATATGCTTATTTTGCTCCCTTAATCAAGCTATAGATATTATTGTCATGCATATTAAAATACACAATAATTAAATCTTTACTTAATTCTGAATGAAGAAGAGTAGTGAATAATTTCCTATAATTAATAAAAAAGGTTGTTAAGTGCCATCCAATTTTTTCCAATGCATAGTGGCCCTATGTAGAACACAATGTAATATTGCCCAGTCCTGTGCCCTCCTCACAATTGTTCTTATGTTTGAACCCACCATGCAGCCACTATATCAATCCTTCTTGTCAAAGGGCTTCCTCTTTTTCCCTGCCCTTTAGCTTACCAAGCATCATGTCCTTCTCCAGGGACTCGTTACTCTGGAGAACATGTTCAAAATATGTGAGAATAAGTTTTGCCTCATTACATTCTGGCTGTACTCTTTCCAAGACAGATTAGTTAGTTTGTTTTTCTTTTGGCAGTCTATGGTACTTTCCATATTCTTCACCAGCACCATAATTCAAATGCATTAATTCTTCTTAGGTCTTCTTTTGACAATGCGCAACTTTCACATGCAGATGAGGAGACTGAAAATACCAAGACTTGGGTCAGACTTACCTTAGTCATCAAAGTAATATCTTTGCTTTACACCACTTAAAAGAGG